AAACGCCTTACTATACATGGTCGTTTTTTCAGTTAAAAGCACCGTACTATACATAGTCGTTTTTTTCGGCTTAAAACACCTTACTATACATGGTCGTTTTTTTTGGCTCAAAACGCCTTACTATACATGGTCGTTTTTTCGGTTAAAAACGCCTTTCTATACATGGTCGTTTTTTTCAGCTAAAAACGCCTTACTATACATGGTCGTTTTTTCAGCTAAAAACGCCTTACTGTACATGGTGGTTTTTTTCGGTTAAAAACGCCTTACTATACATGGTCGTTTTTTCGGTTAAAAACGCCTTTCTATACATGGTCGTTTTTTTCAGCTAAAAACGCCTTACTATACATGGTCTTTTTTTCGGTTCAAAACGCCTTACTATACAAGGCATTTTTAATCAAATGCCTGAGCTACATAACGATTATATAATGTCACCTTTAAAAACATAAGCCAATGTGTGAAACAAAAACCAAATAACTCCAGAAACACTAAAACATGTTGGCCTTTATTTCAACTTCCCATCTAGTTTTTCCAATACCAACTGACTAAAATGAGTATCTATAGAAATATATGCAACACATTGGTTCTATGTCAACCAACGTGATATTTTACACCACAGCAAAATCTACATTCAAGATCGTAAAAGCAAAACAGCAAGTAAAAAAAACCAAAATGAACGAAAACTTAAATTTTCAATGAGAGTAGAAAGGTGAGTGTCAATGTATAAATAGTTATTAAAAAAATCCTGCGGTATCACATGCCAAACTATGAAATAATCTTCGGAGTTCCACTTCCAGTGCAACTGACATTAAATAGTTTCTATAGGGCCAGTTCTTGATTTGTTACATTTTAAAATGTGCAATAAGCTTCCAAGAGTTAAATAAAAGTCAGTTCCATCAGTCGTGTTGGGGGAAACACAACTGTTACATGTACTGTAAACAAACCATGTCGGAGATGATAAATGATGAAAATACATTGTCATTTCAAGGCAAAAAAACGCATTAGACTTATTCGTCGGAATGTAAAACTTTTTTCTGGAAATGTATGTTCATATTGAGGTGGAAGTTAATCATAAATTCAAGAAATCACATGAACTGGAATGCAAGTTTGTCAAATAGTGAAATGATTGCCGAAGACTGTGTCATAAGCAGGACAGGCCACTAAATGGCGATGTAGAAACACCACACGCTTACTTTTGTCCACCTGTTGAACTTACCGGTAGCTTATATGTAGAAGCACAACTGGCCTCAATAACATTAGTGTGAGCCACCTTTTTTTTTTTTTGTACTTTGTAGGTCAATGGCATCCCTATTATCTTTTGAGGCCTAAAAATGATATTGGCATGTAAACAAACAGCCAAAAGACTTTTTTTTTTTCCCTCATGAAAATTGGATGCCTCCCTTTCATGCAACGTTTAACAGAACCCAGCAAAAGGGGTTATTGTGTGATTTAAACCTCAAGACGGCAACGTCCAGATAATTTAATTGTGTGGCATGGAAAAAAAAGATTGCTGGCCTCTGATTTCAAAACTCCTTATTCACCAGAGAACAGAATCCTTTCAAGCATTTTTATCTCAGTTATGACTCTGATGCCACCTCTGAAAGTGCATTTTTGGCCCATTTTGTGACATTTCGACAGAAAAGCGACATGGGGGGGAAGCAGGAAAAAAATCCTGTCTGTATAAAGGGGCTTAAATGTGTGCGCTTGTAACGCTTAACTGGGTCCGAGTGATCCTCGCCTGTTGAGGTTCTGTGTACTGGAGCTGAGTCCTCGATGGTCCATCAGGCAGCGCGACTGAGCCACAAAAGCAAAACAAAATGTTGCCAAGGCTCGCGTCAACAACTTCCATTTTGGGACGGCATTAGCTCACCTGGCCGCCATCCTGACTTTCTCCGCCGCTGATGTTGAGCACATTGAGTGAGTTGGCTCTTTTCATCCTGAAAAAAGGAATTCACATGACAACATTCGCTGAGTGCTCACTATTCTTTTGTTCACATTCACACCTGCTTATCCAGTATAGTATTTACTCTACTGTCAGTTTTGTCAGTTACCTTGGGAAAGTGACTGAGTTACTTTACTGATGACTTGTTTTGGAAAGTAACTCAGTTAGGATACAAATGAGTTTATTCGCTACTTTCAGCAGACGCCGACAAAACGGCTGAAGAAAAATGACAATACCTTATTGGAAGTGCACTTTTACAGTTATGATAAATGATTCAGTTTTTATTTAACAAAAGTTTCAAGGGACCCAACGACACTTAATGGTTATCATTGGGACGGACAATACCCCTGACTATTGTTGCTGCCTTTACTTACAGACAAGCATTACTTTACCCAGCATTACTCGGGGTGGCTTCCTCCACATCGACACCCTTGAGCTTGCGCACCAGCTTCTCGCTGCTTCGCCGTATGGACTCTCGCAGCTTGGTGAAAGAGCCACTTCGCCTCAGCGGGCCATCCTGATGCCCGGATTGGTCGCTGCCGCCCGACCAGCTGGGCCGGGCGTCGCCTCAACAACGGAAGAGGGTGAAGAAAAGATTGGATGTTATGACAGTAAGTCTTGGTTAAAAATAACAAAATAATAAAGGGAAAAGAATACAGTGGTACCTCTACT